CCACCTCCCTTCCCATAACGCCCCCATACGCTCTATGATCAGTACCCTCTAGCCTATGCATGGCTTAGGAGGCACGACCAAGATGAGGCGCGAAAACGCCAAGAGTATGAGGGTAGGGGCTTCATCCCCCGGTCGGCTTTTTAGATGCATTAAAATGCAACAGAGCGCTTCTAAGACCCCCGACCGGGGCCCGCTGTGGGATCCGGCGCGCTGTCCTCCCTCCCACTGCCTCTTCGCTGAATAAAGCTTTCCATTCCCATGATGTAACATCGACCCACCCTCGTCCCCAAATTCCCGCGGCGTCGGTCGCTCTTGCGCGTCGGTCTCCACCAGAGAAGGATCGAGCCGAGAGCCTGCGCATGCCTCTCCATCTCAGCTGCCCGGCATACCCTCACGTAGTTCTCAGCAGCCCCTCGCGTAGTGAACGTGTGGAAACACGTGTCACACGGAAAACGGGGGCATGGGGAAGTGTCAGAGGTCCATTGGTGATCCCCGATTGATCCTGGGGAAGGGTTATAGGCTCGTGTCCTAGGGGTTTATGGGCGCACTGACCCGCTACTTAACAAGCCCTTTTATCCGAATGGTCTAGTGGTTGGGATTCTGACAGGAAGGCGGCCTGGGAAATTCTCCGTCCGCCTCTGACTCCTCCGCAGTCGCCATGGGGGTATCAAACTCCCAAAGTCGGCTCCACTCCTCCGACTGTTGCCCTTGTCTCGTCCCTCGACAAACCCCTGGCTGTTGCGCTCCCTGGGGTGCTCCGGTCGCCCGCGGCTGCCCCCCTGGCTGCTGCACTCCCTGGGGTGCCATAATGGTAACATACAAAATTATGGAGCCGAGATTGTTTGACACTCTGGTTCACACATATCTGGAGTGTGAGAGATTGTAGATGTACAAACATGAGGATCTAGAGGCCTTGGCATGGAAATGCACTTCCATTAAGTGCCATACCCTACCCAACCGTTGCGCAGATCATCCCACCGAACCGCAAGTGAGGTCTTCTTCACACCCTTCCGTGAGATACGAGATCGATTGTAGAGCGCAGATGGTAATTCTGCTGTCGGCGGCGGGGCGAGACCTTGGGGTGCCGCCCAGCTAGAGCTCACTGGAAGAACCACTAGAGCCGCAGGCCGCAGCATCTCATCCATCTAGCTCCCTCACTTTCCTTTCGTCACCGCCATTTTGCCCACTCGTGCAATTCTCCAGTTTTCTGCTCCACCACATAGTTCACAAGCTTTATCAATACTCCGTTCTTTTAACGACCACAATCGGCCTGATGAATGACTTGAGTATCCATTGCCTTGTTTCGTCCGAGCCTTGCTCAACTTGCGCGGATGAATCAGGCTGCGATTGTTGCTCATGTGCACGAGCGCAATACATCAGACGTTCTCCTATCGTGAAGAAACTCAGGGGTGCCTTGGCTTTCATGAGCCAATAACGCACTTTAACTTTTGATGATTTTCGATCAGTCATATCGTTCTGGTTCACCGTTGGGCTTTATCCTCCATATCTTAGTCCGTTAACGCGATCTTAGAACATGCAACCTTAGAGGTAGCATTCAATGATTATTCGAAGCCTCGTTAGTCAACGATAGCTTAATTTGTGGTGATCAAAGGCCACACCAGTGAACATTAAGGCATCAGTCAATGGAGGTCACTAACAGAGACAAGTCACCGCTTAAGGTGGTCCGCTGGGGCGATTCATCACATTCAGGCTCTAGTACTCAGGCAGGAGTTCAGATAAAACCGCGTAAGGGAAAGAAAAAGTCATCTAGCGGTACTAGTCTTACGAATTTTGAGTTACCAGTTACCAGCTGTGGCGAATCAGCTGTGGATCTCGCTGATGCGTTCGCAATTCATCAGCCTCCCGCGTTTCCGCCGCAACAGCAGCATCAAGCAGAGCAGCAGCAACAAGTTCAGTTTCAAGAAGGCGGACGGCACACGCATAGCGAGGTACCGTTGCGTGATCTGGAGAAGCAGGGCACGGAAACGACTCGTTCTCGACCCAATAGCGGGGAATTTCCTGTCATTGGTACGTCCGCGGAAGGGCAGGCAGAGGACTCGGTGCAAACTGGCGGCAATGGCGCAATTAAACGTGGGAAAAAGGGGCGGAAGAAGAGCCAGAGCGCCGCGTCGCTTCAGCCTTACGAGGCAGCACAGCCAGATGGTTACTTGCAGCCAGGTGGATACTCGCAACTTCAGGGGGTTTACTTACAGAACGGTTACAACACACAGCAGCAGCAGCCGCCGGCAACGCAGACCCAGCAGTGGCAAGACGATTGGACGGTTCTAGCAGATGGTGACGTAATCGACGAGCCTCGTTACCAGCCGTCCGTACCCTTCCCTCTTTCGCGATCCGTTACTGCCGGTCCGCAAGCGCCTAAGCCGTTAAAGGACGGGTATCCCGGACCGCAAGGCAGCAGAGGGCTTTGGCGGAGAGCGTAGGGGGATCATACGATGCTGAGTTGGGGAGAAGCGAAGGAGGTTTTCAAACAGAGAGGGTCCCGACTCAGGCACCGCCTGCGGAGGTTATGCTTCCGCGGAGCAAGTCGGAAGCGGGTAGGGGCGGGGTTGCGCTTAGGAGGGGGAGAGCCCGCGCAGGAGCAGTGACGATAGGGTCGGTGGGCTCTGAGGCGGAACTCGCGCAAGGGGTGGTACGGCGGGCGTCGCAGGGGGAGCTGGCTGCGGAGGAGGGGGTGATCAGGTGAACGTGGTCGCACAGAGGGCGCGTGCGACGGGTGCGAAAGAACGGAGGCGACAGCCGAGCGAGGATAGCGCCAGCAGCACTAGTGGCAGCAGGGGTAGCAGCGGAAGCTCGGTGGGAGGTATGAGTATGATACACTCCCAAGCGCAGCAGCAGCAACAAGCGCAACAGACGCAACAGGAGCAGCAGCCGCAGGAGCAGCAGATGCAGCAGAAGACGAAGCAGGCGAAGCAGCACAGGAGAAGGAAGTCCGGGGGGGATGTGACGGCTGCTGCTGCTGCTGCTGGTGGTTCTCAGGCCGGGTTGCCTGCAGGAGGGGAATGCATTGCGGGCGGTGGGGGCTATGCAGAGCACGCCAATGGAGGCAATGGTGCTGGGGGAAGTGATGGGGGGTCCCAAGGTGTCGCCTTCTCAGGTGGAGGCTTTTCCGGTGGAGGTCACCTAGGAGGCAACGGCTGGGGCAGGGGTGGCGAGGAAGGGGGCCCTGCAGCGTTGTATGCGTCCCTGCTGGCTGTACACCCGCCCCTGATCTCCAAATCCGGTCGACAGGTCGTTCGGGTAAGACTGCTGGGTTACCCCTCGACCCTGTAGCTTTTGAGAATTCTTATAAGTCCTGCTGCACTATACGCGGCCCTACTGTCTGCGCGTCCCCGGATCTCCAGGTCGTTCGGGTAGGCGCTGCTCGTTTGTCCCTTGCACCTGCAGCTGCACGTACCTGCCTGCTGCTGTCTGGTCGTATGAAGCCATAACTCCTCTTCTGGCAGAAGGCGTCTTATTACTGTGAGACTGCCAATGTTTCCCTCCGTTCTTTCTGCTCTTTTCCGGTCTTTCAAACGCAGTGCCAGTGGTGCTCCCAGATGCTGGCAGTGCCGGCGCAGCTGCAGCCGTCACACAAGGGCAGGCAGAAACTGCGGTGCGGCAAGTGCATGCGCGTGTCTAAGTATGCTGTCACTCTGCCGCCGCCCGACATGCCTGGCCTACCCCTCCTTATTCCTGTTGAGAGCGCACAAGAAAAGGGTGATGTGCAGTCCCAGGTGCAGTTTCCAGAGCAGCAGCAGCATCATCTACAGCAGCAGCAGCAGCAGCAGCAACAGCAGTATGAGCATCAGCTACAGCAGCAGATGACCGTGCAGGGTTCCCAGGGGATCGAGCAGGCGTTGATAGAAGGGGAGGTCGCTGGGGACGACAATGAGGACGAACAGTGGCAGCAGCAGCCGGGAACCCTGCAGGTACAGCAGCAGCAGTGGGAATTGCAGCAACAGCAGTTACAGCAGCAGGCACAGCAGGTGCCGATGCCAATGCAGGTACAGGCAGGTGGCATGGCAGGACCGCGGTTCCCTGCTTCAAGTGCTGCAATTCCAAATGCAGCCATTGCAGGTGCAGCCGTTGCAGCAGCATCCTTGCTCACGGGTGCGCCAGCCTACCATGGCATGGCACCACAAGACATTCAGCCAATGCTGCAGCAAGGGTTTCCACAGGGAGGGGGTTTCCCTGGCGCCATGGGCCAGCAGCTTTCCCAGCAGCGGCAGCAGCAGCAGCAACAGCAGCAGCAACAGCAGCAGCAGCCGTTGCAGCAGCAGCAGCCGTTGCAGCAGCAACCATTGCAGCAGCAGCCATTGCAGCAGCAGCAGTTTGGTCATATTCAGGGAGGTGGGGGTTTGGGTCCAATTGGGCAGCAGCAGCTACAGCAGCAGCTGCAATGGGTAAATAGTGTGCCCCCTTCTGCTTTGAATGGGGCGGTGCAGCAGCTGAATGGCGTGGCCCTATCCAGTGTTCGTCCTCAGCAACTGCACACATTGCTGCATAGTCCCATGCTGCCGTATCGACCGCAGCAGCTGCCACAGCAGCTGCAGCAGTATCAGCAGCCGCCACAGCAGCTGCAGCAGTTTCAGCAGCAGAATCAGCAGCAGCAGTTTCAACTGCAGCAGTACCAGCATCAGCAGCAGGGGCAGCAAATTCAGTCACAGTATCAGCAAAGACCTACGATCATCCAAGTCTCTACTTCCCTCACAGGCGAATCTGGTGTGGGTTTAGCCAAGGGTGGTGAGCCTGGTCAGGGGTATGCAGGTGGGACTTACTACCAGCACCCTCAACTTATGCCTGTCAGACCTCAGCAAGACACCGTGCAACCGCTGCTGCAGCAGCAGTCAGGCTTACAGCAGCAAGCTCGGCCACATATGCAGATGCAGATGCCGCAACAAGATTTGCAGCAGCGGCAGCAACAGCAGCCGCAGAAGCAGCAGCATTGGCAAGGAGTTGGGCAAGGGACTTTCAGTCAGCATGGCATTGTCGGTCAACAGGACGCTCAGCAGCAGCAGCAGCAGCAGCAGCAGCAGGGGCTGGCAGCTCAGCAATCCCTGCCTCGCAGAGCATCACAGGGAGCAGCAGGCGAAGCTCAGCCTTCAGCCAAGCACGTCCGCAAGTCCAGTGGTGGTTCTGACTCCAGTACCAGTGGTGTTGCACCTGCTCTCAGAATGCCTAGTACTGGAGCGGCAGCAGCAGCAGCAGGAGCAGAGGGAGCAGGAGGAGTGATGGCAGCAGCAGCTGTGGCAGACGAGAATGGACAGGAGTTGGTCCCGAGGACCGCATCAGGGAAGCGGTTCCAGCGGCAGGCACGGGACATGCTGGCAACAAGACGAGTCACCGTGGGTCCGGGCGGCAAGCTGGCCACCGTTCCTTCCTTCCGTGCTGCTCCTCAGATACAGGGAGGGACAGCAGGAGGAGGGGCGGCAGGAGGAGGGGCGGCAGGAGGAGGGGCGGCAGGAGATGGTGCTGGTGGAGGGGGAGGGGAGATGTCGCTGCGGCGAACATCAACAGAGAGGAAGGGAGCGAAAGGGGTAGAGGGAGGGGGAGCAGTGGTGCTGATGCCACGGAGCAGGACGATGAGTATGGGTGTGGAGGCACAGTACCGGAGAAAGGTGGTTGTGAATGGGGTGCCTGTGCCGGACCAGAGGGTTCTTGTTGCAGAGCAGAGGATTGGGAAGATCGAAGCCTGGGAATTATTGGTGCGGATATCTGATTTAGCTATTTTGTGCACACGATGTTAGGCTTTCATTGTTTCCTATCCATGTGGTTTCGTGGTTCCATGTTTCTGGGACATCTGAGCACCCGTCAAGTTGTGCATTGTTGATATTGCCTTTGTGGTTTTGCAGGTATGACTGCAGAGCTGGGTTCTGGGGGCCTGTTGGGAGTGCGTCCTTGGGCGTCATTCAGTGAGCAATGCTTTGGTCTACGTTCATGCAATATGCATCTGTATCTGTTTGTCTTGCTGTGTCATCACTATTTCTTTTCCTCTCATTTGAATGTCAGGCTTTCATGCGCAGCTAGGCAATGCCCCTGTGTCCATGGATTGCTCCGGTGCAAGAGCAAGATTCTGGTGAATGGACGAGAGCTGCATCGAAAGGATGTCCAAAGTTCTGGCAGAGAAAGTGTTCCCTGAGACATTGGGAGGCAGGTATACACGCTGGATGCGGATGGCACTCTGGTCCAATGAGTTTGGACGAGTGCGGCTAACCTTGGGAGCCTGTAAGTTTGCAGCTTTGGTTGGGTGACACTTTTTTTTTTTTTGTTGCAGAAAATGAGCTTATGAATTGCTCCTCTCCTCTGTGTGCAGGCTGGAGGATGACAAGGATGGCTTATTTATGAAAGCTGGTCAGAGATCAAGGTCAAGCAGAAGAAAATAAACACTACTAACGTTTGTCAAGTACAGTGAAGGCCTTCGTAGCAGAAATTTCGCGTTGTGTGTTGGTGTTGCTGTGGCACCTTCCATTCCCCCGACTGTCGGTCGAACGTTTCTTCGCATTTGTAACGGCTTTCACCAAATTATCGCAGGCCTATGGCAGAATTCCGTTTCGCTGACGAACAGCGGACCTTGAGTTGAGTTCTCCTGGCTGATGATGAACCTCGAAATTCCCAGGCTTCTGCGCCAAGTCACAACTTATTTTGGCTCGGTTACTTCTGTCAGGAATTGTGGGTCCTGCCGAGCCTCGCAGGACCTTGGCCTGGCCTAGAGCTTTTGTGTGCGACAAACCGAACAGCGCCCACTGGCTCGCATAATCAGGAAGATTTGACAGAGCAGTGCAGCACCAGCAGCAGAGCAGCAGCAGCACTCCCTCCAGTGTATTCTCCGTTCTCCTTTCTCCTCTTCCCTAACCATTTTCATCTCTTTGACTTCCAGTGCACTCTATCTTTTCAAGGAGTGAATCTGCAGTAGAATGTTGTGGTGCATCGTCAATGTCACCGCGAAAGCTGCTGGCGTATTCCCGATTTGACTAGTTTTGCGACGGGGTGGTACGCCGTAATGACACGTTCTTAGGTAGCTAAAGGCCACGCGTGTCTGTTTTAGGTCGTCGACGCGTTTCATTCTTTCCACACGATTGTAAAAAGGCTCGTCAAACGATAAGCGCGTACTCATTCGAAATGGGAACACGGAAGCTCGCGCACCTTGATCCGTAACATCTAGGGATTAATGTCTCTTTTCCTCCTTCCCTTAACGTAGACCTTTTCTTATTGCAAACATGGCTAGCCTCCAACCACCAGGTAGGAAGATACGACCTCAGCCAGATCCTTATGTGTCTGGTAATGGCTATCACGCCGATGGACACCCACACAGACTATCAACCCCGCAGGGAGTGCATTCCGTATCCACCCAACAGCAATCACCGATGCCTAAGTCCAGCTCCGCCTTCCCTTCACGAACTGGAAGTCTGTCAAACACCCACATGACGCCACCCGATGCCTGGGACGGCCGACAGTCTTCAGACCAAAATCACATCCCGCAAAACCAAGCTCAATCTTTTCAGCAAGGAATGCAAGTAGGAGCTCAGCAGCACGGCATGCAGCACGGGGTGCACGAGACACCCGCTCAGGGCCAGCGGGGATCCATGCACGTGGATCCAAACACCAGCCTCGCGGCCCAGCGCGTGCTAGCGGCGCACAAGGCTAAGCACCTGCATGTGGAGGTCGATTCCCCATCTGGCGTCCCCTCGCACGGGGGGAACTCGGGCGGGGCTATTGTGACTGGAGAGGGTCCGGAGTTCCGCGAGCCGGCGCAACAGCAGCAGCAGCAGCAGCTTCCGCCGATTCAGGCTCAGGCGCAGGCGGTTCCAGGCGAAGGGGCTACTGTTCCGCAGCCGCTACTGTCAAAGTCAGGCCGGCCTGTTGTGCGTGTAAGTTATTGAACGCGGCAGCCGGAGAAATCAGCAACCATTCCTTGCATCCTTACCTTTTCCTTGCTTCGTTGTCCTCGCGTTGCCTACATCGTTTCCCCGCATGTTTCCGAATTCCGATTTCGTTCCATCGCAGTGCCAGTGGTGCTCCCAGATGCTCGCCGTGCCACAAAACTGGAGCCGAGAGACGGAGTTCAGAAGCTGCGTTGCGGAAAGTGCCTAAAGATCTCCAAGTTCTCCGTCTTCGTCCCTCCCGCCGGCGGCGTTCCCGTGCTCATGCCTCTTTCCGCCTCCGGCCCTCTCCCCGGTCCGCCTTCTGTAGCTGTTTCGCGTGGTGGAGCCCAAAATCAGCAACCCCTGCCTGTGCAGCCACAGCCGCAGCTGCAGCCGCCGCCGCAGCAGCAGCAAGGGCAGGTGGTGTCGGAGGAAACGTGGCTGCAGCAGCCGCTGCAAGGTGTAGCCCCGCTGCAGGCTTACCAGCAACAGCCGCAGTTCCAACAGCCGCAGGGCATGGGTCCCGTGCAGCCGCAGCAGGCGCGGCAGCCTTCGCCGCAGCTCATGCAGCTGCAGCAGCAGCAGCAGCAGCAGCATGCAGCGTTGCAGGGTTATGGGCAGGGTGCGCAGGGGCTGGTGCAGCAGATGGGCGGCTTGAGCATGGGTGAGTCGTTTAGTCAGCAGCCGTATGCTATGGCCCCTCAGATGCCACAGGGGATCGGCCCGCAGGGAGGGATGCAGCAGGGCATGGGGCAGCAAGGCATGGGGCAACAGGGCATTGGGCAACAGGGCAGTGGGCAGCAAGGCATGGGCCAGCAGGGGATGGGGCAGGTGTATCAGCAGCAGGCTCATGCACCTGGGCATATGCAGGCTCACCCACAACAGCAGCAGGCGGTACCTCATTCCAGCAACAGATGGTTGGGGGAGCGCAGCAGCAGTATGCCAACTTCGCACAGCCAGGCATGGCTGGGCCTGGAGGGTTTTATACCTCAGCAGCAGCAGCAACAGCAGCTTCAGCACCCTCACCAGCAGCAGCAGCACATGCAATTCCAGCAGATGCAGAATCAGCCCATTCAACAGCAGATGCAGCAGCAGGTGATGCACCAGGGACAGGGTCAGGGGCAGCAGCAGATGGGTCATCTCGCGCCCCCACATGCCTCTCAATCTCCCGTGCAGGCGTCAGGCTTTGCAGCTAGCCCCCTATCCCAGAACCACTCACCCTCCATGCCCATGTACCATCAAAAACTCAGGCCCTCCGCAACAGCAGCAGCCACTCCACCCATACCAGCAGCAGAGCCCCATGCAGGGTCGCTCTCACATGGGCAAGGTAGCATACGGGCATCAAGCACCCAGACCTCCTCTATCCGGTGGGAGCATAGGGGGGCACCTGGAGAGCGAGGAGGGCCTGCCAAGGCAAGGGTCAGGGAAACGGTTCCCCAAGCAGCCGCCACAGCCCCCCATGGACCCACAAGCTGCCACCAGACGGTACCTCACTGGCCCGGGGAAGTCCCTAGCGGCTTCGATCGGCTTTAGAGCGGGTCTCTCAACGAACATCAGATGCAGCAGCAGCAGCAGCACGGGGGTGCGGGAATGGGAGCGCCTGCGGACCTGCCCTTCAGGCGCACTGCCACGGAGTACAGTGGGCCGCCCGGGCGGGCAGATGCGATGACGGTGGCGCCGAGAAGCTCCACGCTGGGCGGCGAGGGGCAGTACCGTCGCAAGGTGTATATGAACGGGCAGCCCGTGCCTGACAAGCTTGTGTTCCTGGCTGAGAGGCGGATTGGAACGATTGAGCCAGGCAGCTACTGGTATGTTGTGCACTGCTGTCTTTAAAACAGGATGGGCGTCTGTTGTGCATGCTTCTTGTGGTTTTGCTGTTTGCGTGCCTAATGGAGGAGTGACGTGTGTTCGTGCATTGCTCATTCTTTTCACCCGATCTTGTTTCCCTCCACCTTTTGTTTTTCTTGTCATCTCATGTTCCAGGTATGACTGCCGAGCTGGATTTTGGGGCCCTGTGGGAGGGCCAGCATTCGGAGTTACTCCGGTGAGTTGCTCTTTGGAACAGGCAAATGAGAGTCGCAGGCAAGTTATAGGTGAAAGTAAGCCAAAACTGCAAATTCACCTGAAATTAGGCTGATAAATCAACCCTGGTAGAAAAAACAAGGCTGATCAAAGGTTGAATCAACGTAAAAAGCTTCGAATCTGAGGGTCTGCGTGTGGAGAGGTAAGGGCCTGAAAGTGGGTGGTTGAAAAAATGTTATAGCAGCAGCAAAATGTTACTACCTCATTGTGGGCTACTGTGCCGAGTTGTTTTCGCCGCGCTGCCCAAATATAGCCCCGTTTCTCCCTCCTGCCTGCTTGTTTCCCAACAGGCTTTTATGAGGGAGTTCGGCATGCAGCCGATGCAGAGTGACTGTTCCGGAGGCAAGACTAAGGTGTTTGTGAATGGGAGAGAGCTGCACAAGAAGGACCTTGTTTACTTTGATGAAGAGGGGCTTTCCGGACACTCCTGGTGCTCGGTACACTCTGGATGCTGATGGCACAGTCTGCAATGAGGCAGGCCGACACCTCTTTGCCATGGGAAAACTGTAAGTGAAGCTCTATTGTCAAGCCATAGTAGTTTGAGCGGCCTGTCAATGTGTCAAGCTTGCCAACTTCAGCTTACACAGTGAGCTGACTCTTTCCATGCCCATCGTGCTTTTGTTTGTGCTTTTGTCAGGATGGTGGACAAGAAGAAGGGTATGTACATGGTGAAACCCCAATAACATGGAGCTAGCACCAGCACGAAAGTAAATAATGAGATCAACTATCTAACTGATGGCAGTGGGTGATCGTTTCAGTCATGGTGCTAATGAACCTGTGTTCATAGCAGCTGTCATATCTGGTGGTCTTGCAACTGAATCTTACCTGACTTCTTGAAATCCACCAGCCTGGAAGTGAAATCATACTACCACGTGGATATTCCAGGAGACAACTTCCTCAGACTAACACACAGTAATAACTATTGGGATTTAACTTAGAGATGCTTCACTACTGGGAACTGAACACAGTTTTATAACGAAATATGTTACGAGTGCAATTGAGTGAACGAACGAGAATTGCACTATCGAAGCAAGAGTACAATGAGCGAAGGCATGAGCGAACAATATATAGCGAAACTACAGTGGTAACGGTAATGGTCGCGCGACGAGCCTGGGACTGAGGTTGGGAAAGTGTCGAAGCGTAGGCCCGGAGCGCGGGTTACCAGCCGAGCCGTGAGGTCGGGATGCGATGTGCGAAAATGGCGGGATGATGAATGATGCGATGGTCGCGAGTGGTAACGGTGCTGACTGAGGTGCTACAGTGATGTACGCGTTGAGCAGGGACGCGAAGTAAGGAAAAGGGAATTTCCTTACACTACCCCCCCTCCTAAGGAGGTCCTCCTTACGAAAGCGCATGGACGTCTCTGAAGTTTCGGCTGCGCAGATAGTCCGTGACGACAGGGTGGTTTTCGACTTTGTCCAGGGGAACCCAGTTGTCCTCGGTGGGGGTACGATCTTTCCAGCGGATCAGAAACTCCACTTTTCGGGCTCCTCGAGGGTCACGAACTCTGTGGCTCAGGATCTTATCGGGGGTGATGACTGGTTCGGTTGGTAGTCGTGTCATGTTGGAGGGTCGATGGCGTGGGAGTTGACTGGTGGATGGTACGTAAGGGCGAAGCAGGCTGACGTGGAACGAGGGGCTGACGTACCAGTCAGCAGGAAGGAGGAGGTGCGCGGTGACAGGCGTGATCATGTGACTGATTCGAAATGGCCCACAGTATCGAGGGCGGAGTTTGGGAGTGATGGGCAGGCGGAGGTTCTGAGTGTCGAGTAAAACAAGGTCGTCGGGCTGGTAAGTGACGGGTCTGCGGTGGCGATCGGCGTTGCGTTTAGCGATGATGTTTGATTTTTTTATTGCTTCTGCTGCCCTGGTCCGTGCTGCTTGCAGAATCTCGGCGAACTGTTGTGCTCGTGGGACGGGGTTGTCGGGATTCGGTGTCATGGGTACTGTTGGGTCCTGTCCGTAATTCAAGTAAAACGGCGACTGTTGTGTCGTGGCTGATGGCGCGTTATTGTAGGCGAACTCGATGAGGGGCAACTGCTGTTCCCATGTATTCGGATCGTCGCACGTGGCTCGAATCAGCTGCTCCATGGTCTGATTGGTCCGTTCCATCTGTCCGTCGGTTTCGGGGTGATAGGATGAACTGAATTGTAAGCGCGTGCCGAACTGCTGCCACAGGTTCCGCCAGAAGTTGCTTGTAAATTTCGTGTCCCTGTCGCTGATGATCGACGCGGGTATCCCGTGCAGTCGAACGACGGTGGTGATGAAGAGTCGGGCGGTTTCTTCGGCTGTGATTGATTTCCTGCATGCTGCGAAATTTGCCATCTTCGTTAGTCGATCGACGACGACCAGTATCGCGTCATTCCCACTCGCCCCAGCTGGTTACCCCGTGACGAAGTCCATCGTCACCTGCTGCCAAGCACGCTCTGGAGGCGGGATGGGTTATAATTGTCCCGCCGGCCGCTTCCTGTTTGACTTCATGAGCTGGCAAGTGGGACATGATGCCACGTGTCGTTGCACATCGGTCAACATTTCTGGCCAGTAGTAGTACCGCTGCAGCTGCTGCCGTGTTTTTTCTACCCTGAAATGTCCCGAGGTAACTCCGTCGTGTGCTTCCTGTAACAGTAGTTCCCGCAGTAGCGTGTATCGTGGTACCCAGATGCGGTCGGTTCCAGCTTTTACGTAATAGACTCCTTTTGCCGCTGCGAATTGCTGTGAGTTGCCTCCTGTGAAGAATGGGTCTGTTTGATATCCGTGGGTAAATAGTCCTGTAAGTAGCGGGCTGGTCTGGGCGAGTAGTATCGCATGGATCTGGGCAGTGGGGCGGGTCAGTGCGTCGGCGATATTCGAGGCTCCTTTTTTGTATGTGACCGTATAGTGAAAGTTCGACTCGAGGAAATCGAGCCATCGAATCTGTCGTGGGTTGAGGTGGGGCTGTGCGCGGAGGTACTGTAGAGATCGGTGGTCTGTCCGTACTGTCACGTCTGCGCCGGTCAAGTAGCAGCGCCACACTTTGAATGCGTGCACGATCGCAAGCATTTCGCGGTCGTGTATCGGGTAATTTCGCTCAGGCGGATGGAGTTTGCGTGATTCGTAGGCGATGGGTTGGAGGCCGTTGCCGAAGTCCTGTAACAGTACAGCTCCGATGGCGATGTCACTCGCGTCTGTAACCACTTCGAAGGGGCGGTGTGGATCAGCGATGCGTAGAACGGGTGGTGAAGAGAGAACATTTTTCAGGGCAGAGAAGGCAGCATGCTCTTTCTACCCCCACGTAAAAGCGACCCCCTTACGCAGTAAATTAGTGAGTGGGGCTGTTAAACGTGTCATGTCGGGCACGAACCGTCGAACGTAATTGACAAAACCTAAAAAACTCTGCAGTTCCGTGATATTCGTCGGGGGGCGCCACGCTTTTACTGTATCCAGCTTCTTTGGGTCAATCTCAACCCCAGCCTCCGAAATGACGTGACCCAAAAACTCTAGCCTATCCCGAAAAAACTCGCACTTGGAGCCCTTGGTGAGTAACCGATGTTCTTATAAAACCTTAAAAACTGCTTCAAGATCTACTAAGTGCTGCTGCTTATCCCGGCTGTAAACTAAAATATCGTCCAGGTAAACTATCACGCATTTATCTAAAAGTGGTCTAAACGCCTCGTTCATGGTCATCTGAAATGTTGCAGGCGCGTTGGTCAACCCGAAAGGCATCACTGTGTACTCGAATGACCCGTATCTAGTCCTAAAAGCTGTCTTGGCACAGTCCGATGGTTCGACCCGAATCTGATGGTAACCTCCCCGTAAATCTATTTTCGAAAAGACTCGTGCTGTTCGCAGTTGGTCGATCAGTTCGTCGGCGCGGGGGATGGGGTATCGCGATTTGACTGTTACCCTGTTAAGCGCTCGGTAGTCGATGCACATGCGGAACCCTCCGTCTTTTTTCGGTGTGAACAGTATCGGTGCGGCGAACGGTGACGAGCTCGGTCGGATAAACTGCTTCTCTAACAGGTAATCTAACTGCTTCCTTAACTCGTCGAGCTCGGGCTATGTCAGTCGAAATTGTCGCTGTACAGTTGGCTGTGCCCCTGGTTCTAACTCGATCCTATGGTCGTGCGCCCGCTGAGGTGGCAGTCCCTGTGGTAAGTCATCCGGAAATATCCCCGGGAACCGTTTCAGTAGTGCTTGTAGCTCGGTCGGTACGGCTGCCAATAGTTTCTCTAAATCACTCGGCTGCTCCTCTTTTTCTATTAGCGCGATATCCACTGCGTACACGTCAGCTCCAGCAGCGACAACCCGTTTCATCGTGATGGCGTTGACCTGGACCGTCGAAGATGCGGGTGGCTGCCAGCGAGGTAGAACGACCCAGTTACCACTACTTCGCACTGTGCAGCTCCCCGTCGTCCAGTCAATCCGTGGGTTGTACCGTCGCAGCCAATCACGTCCCAATAAAATGTCGTGCCCATCCAGTGTCGTTGCGAGCATTTCCTGTGTAAACCCGAAGTTCCCCCCGCAGCGGACTTTTACTCGCTCCACCTTTTCCCGTATGGCCAGGAGCGTGCCGTCGACTAAGCGTGCATCTATCTCAGGTAAGCATCGGTTAAGTGTTAACTGTAATTTCCGTGCGGTTGCGGTATTAACTAAACTGTGACTTGCTCCTCCGTCAATAAAGATCTTCACTGCTGCTCCCTGTATTTTCCCGTAGATCAGTACCGGGCAATCCGTCGCTGTACCCTCCTTATTCATCCGAGCCCGATCGATGGCGTGAATGTCAGAATATTATCTTATGTTCTAGCCTGTAGTGGGGTGCTCTATAGCGAGTACAACCCTTCTAGGGTTTTGCTATTTGTATCCTCATTCCTGCTAGTTCAATCCTCTTTCTTCTTCTAACATTTGTCAGTGAATCGGTACTGTGACTCGGTGAGGGTCGGTGCGGTTGGGCGAGCAGGCAGTCTCGTCAGTAGTTGGCCCAACTTCTACTGACTGCTGGCGTTTCCCTGCCTCTGAGACTCCCTCCCCTGCTCTGCTCCTCGACGCCTCAGCTCCTCTGGGCATTCGCTCTTGCGATGGCCCGGCCGGTTGCAAGCAAAGCAGCGCCCTCTAAACGGTGTGGCAGCTGCATTCGTTGCGACGGCATGTACAGTGGCGTGCTCGATCGGTCCCCGAGGACGATGTCCGTAATAGGACCCCGGTCTCGGTCGGCGTAGGATATCGATTTTCTCGGCGAGCGCGAGGATCTCGTTGAAATTCGAGAGCCCGCGTAGCATTATCTCGTGCGAGATATCCGGCTTCAGCCCTCCGACGTAACGGTCCACCCGCTCCGCTTCGTGCATGTAGCCGACCTGCTCGCAAAGTGCGAGAAAACCGCTGGTGTAGTCTTGAACTGACCCGACCTGGCGCCAAGTGCGCAGTTTCTGACGCGCCGAAATCGAAGCCGCGATCGGCTCAAAGCGCGCCCGAAGCCCTGCGCACCACGCATTCCACGTGCTGTATTGGGCGGTTTCGCAGAACGAACTCCAGGTAACAGCTGGACCCGAGGGCCCTTCCTCGTGCGACGGTGGCTCGTAGGCGCGTGGCGACGTCACGATGACTCGCCACCAGTCCATGGCGGGGCCCCTGAGTAGTGAAACCGCATACCGGATCTTGGCGGCGTCCGACTCGACGTAGTTGGCGTCGAAAAACACATTCATCGTGA